CCAAACCACTGCGCCACCCAGGGATCCCAGAATCTTGAGTTTTGATAGACTTTCCAACTTTTTTCTCCCTTTTGGAAGCTGGGGCTGGGTGTGAATCCTGCTTTTTGCCTTTTTCTAGCTACAAGCCCATGGTCATGTTAACCTCTTAAAGCAGAATCTCTGTATTTGTGAAATCCAGATGATCATAGTCCCTAACTCACAGGGTTGTATCGAGGATTCAATGAGAAATTAGATGAGATCATCTTCATCACAGCACTGGGCACAAACACATTCTCAATAATCGTTTCTTGCTGTTGTGTATATCTGGACATAAAAGGTTGTGGATTTTTCCTAATGGGGCATGGAATAAGTGTGAGGCACATCATGGAATCATCAATATCTAAAGAGAAACAAGTGGCCTTTGAGGTTTAAGAAATAATCAGATAAAAATAGATCTTAGAGCCACCTAATAATGGAGTATTTTATAAAAAGCTTTTCTGTGGCCTCTCCACGTGAATATAAGTTAAAATTTCCCTTGTCTTTTTAGGCAATGGGCAACAAATTCATAATCTCCATTTTCTTTGGCTTCTCCATTTAAGTGTGACCTGGTAGGTCAACACTGATTATCTTGAGAATAATTAGCTAATCAAATCTATTTTTTAATTTTTTTCATAATACCTTTATGGGGAACTTAATCAAAGTCTAGCATTCAAATCCACTTCCTAGGATCTGGCTGAGAAGAGGAGATAAAAATCCTAGGCTCACTCTTGACTAGTGGTGGACTTGCTAAGTCCTCTCAATCTATACGTGTGTGTATACACACACACACACACACACACACACAAACACACACACACGATTTTTAAAATTCACATATATATCCCAAATTTACAATGTGAACATTAATTCCAGAGTCAGTCCTGAGGTATAGATAGTTGGTATTCCAGTAATATGTGAATTAAAACTGCAGTAGTGGAGTTCTATGCAATAAAAAGGGAGAATAATAAAAATTAAAAAGTAAAAAACAACAATAACAATAAACCCCAGCAAGCTGAATCCCACCAGGGCTATATAAAAATACATTTAGTGATTTTTATCTGTTCAGTCTTCTTTTCTTGAATGCCAACTATGTGCCAGGCATCTTGCTAGAGCGTGGGAATAAAAATGAAACGGATTTACTCACAGACATTTGTGTAAGAGATTATCCAAGTAATCTGCCCAAGGTTATGCCTGATGCATAAGGCCAGAACTTGAACATGTGCTTTTCCATCCCTCAAGTTTACTGTTTTTCCTGCCATACCAAGTTGCAGGCATTGCTGGCATCCAGTCATGATCCTTCTCAGATCCCTTCCCCTGACTTTCTGCATTAATCTAGCTTCTTCATGTTATGCTGTGAAATGCTGCACCACTGACCTTGAAAGGATTGCTCTTGGACACTGGAGCCTCATTGCCTGAAGAGGGAGTCAGACATGTCTTGGAGCCCCCATGCCTCGCTCCCTCACCCCTGCCTCCCACAATCCCAGAGTGAGGCACAGCCAATGACTGTCCAGTGTGGGATTTTAAAAGCCCAGTTCCTTTGCCACAAGGCATAGCAAACTGAAGTTTAACTTCTGCCCTAGAGCTCCCCACAGGATCAGGCTGAGATCTTATCTAAAACTATATCTTTGCTTGGCATCTTTTCCTTTTCTATCATGCTGCCTCTACTTTCTCACTGGTTTTACCCTGGGCACACTACCACACAAATTTTCTTTTCAGGGTCTGCTTTTTGGAGACCCTGACTTGAGACACCTATGTTAGGATATAAATCATATTTTTTTTCTTATTTCACTGTATCTTCATCTAGATTTTGACCACACTAACTACAGGATAATGAAAATATGCTATTAAATGAAATTTTTGGATCACATCATGAATATGTAATTAAAATGAATCATTTGAGAAGATTATGTAATCACTTAAATGTGTCTGTACTTTATTTAGTGACCTGGGCCAAGCCATTCCATCTGTTTGGATATCAGCTTTTTCCTTGGAAAGATAAGTGTTATTTGTCCAGGAGGCATGTGCATATTGAATGTAGTATGTACCAGGCCCTTTTAGGACACAAAACAATCACAGACTATTTAAACAACAGGCTCTATAAACAGTATCCACGTTTTGACAGTTTATCAATCTCAGTAACTAAGAGAAAGCAATTTAATACTTTAAGTTACTTTCCTCAATAGAGCAGATTTCCAGTAACAACTGTCAAGTCTTACAGAACACTGAACATATTAGAACAACTGTGATTACAAATCCATTTGTTACATTTAAAGAAAAAAAACATTTCTATTTCAGCTCTTTGACTTAATATATAGCATGGCCATTGTCAGTTTTATTTAACAGGCTATTAAAATACATCATATCAAGCAATATAATTCAGAATTCTACCTATTTTATTTTTTTAAAGATTTATTTATGTACTTAGAGAGAGAGAGAGAGAGAGAGAGAGAGCGCAAATTGGGGGAGGCAAAGATGGAGAAGGAGAGACTCTCAGGCAGACTCCCCGCTGAGCACGGAGCCTGATGCAAGGCTCAATCTCATGACCCTGAGTTCATGTCCTGAGCCAAACCCAACAGGTGGATGCTTCACCGACTGAGCCACCCAGGCACCACTCTACCTGTTTTAAAGTAGAGCCGCTTTGAAATGAGACATAGCATGAACTCAAATGCTAGAACAAATGAAGAAGGAAGCATTAAGATTCTAGATGACATTAATTCTACATAGTCCATGAATAATCTTTTTCTTCAAACCCCAAACATGTCAGAAACAGAGAAATTAAATCTAATGTAGGCAAATAATATAGTCCATGAGAGCAGATAAAAGGAGTGAAAGGAAGGCACAAAAGGTGGATTTCGTCTTACTCTGATATTTATCTCAGAAAAGAAATGTAAATAAACAAATTCATAGGGCTTTATAGCCATTCTGTAGCAAAATAGATTAGGTGATAAGATCACTTTACTCAAAGACAACACAGCAATAAAATCTTAAGCTGTCAAAGAGTAAATGGGAAATTCCTCACTGGATCCTGTGTTAGAGCCTTTGGATATCAGTATTAAGTTATCCTGTTCTACATACGTGTTCTAATACACTACTGACTATTTCATCACTGCGATCAATTAAGCTTTTTTATTATTTATTTATTCATGAGAGACACAGAGAGAGAGAGAGGCAGAGACATGGGCAGAGGGAGAAGCAGGCTCCATGCAGGAAGCCTGACGTGGGACTCCATCCCGGGTCTCCAGGATCACGCCCTGAGCTGAAAGCAGAGCTCAACCACTGAGCCATCCAGGCGTCCCAATCAATTAAGCTTTGTAGAATGACCTTGCAGATCAAAAAATGAAAATGTAGAGGCAAGTCTATAAAAAATCAAAAAGGTACAATACAGCAGTACTCAACCTTTTACTTTGTTTCTCACATTTCTCATTACCCCTGGAAAGAATGGCCTACTAATTTTTATGAGCAATACCTAGCACACTATACATCTCGACATTCTTTTCGTTCACGAAAATATTTGAAGACAAATACACATGAGAGTTTTGATTATAAACGTAGCCATCTATTTTACTTTTCAAATAAAAAAATGGCAGGTCTATATATATAGACTACTTATAAAATCTAGAAATACAGACAATATATAGAATGCTATCAAGGGCATCTTCAATTTTCAAATAATAATAAAACAATATTATCTAGTTTTCTAAACGTTGGGTCCACTCTGAAGATTGATATGGGACACTCCTCAAGATGAATTATTAATTGAATGAAAAAGCAAATAGCAAAACGATATGAACTTCATTATTACATTCGTATAATTCACATAAGCTGGAGTTATGTAAATCAAATGCACAAAAATTATTCATAATAAGGTTATTTGGTGGTGCAGGTGACAGGATTGAAAAGGCAAGAGAGAATTCTGTTTTGACTGTATTGTTTGAAATGTTTGCAGTGAGAACAGAGTCATCCAACACACATCAACAACAAATCATTTGCAAAACACTTCAACACCTCCCTAGGCTCCACATGTGTCTATACAAGGCTCTTCCCCGTAGAAGGTAAGGCTTTTAGAACAGAAGGCTCCCAACTGGCTGGAGAAGGGACCTTACGAGAAGGCATGCATTTTTTATATGTTGTGCTGTAGCTTTACCACTCAGTGTCTAACCTGGAACTGGACTCAACCTCTGTGAGAATCACAGTGGGGGAAATGCAGAGATTGGCAAGGAGATGACATTGCTTAGGAAGTAATGTATCAAAAAGACTGGAACCAAAGTATGGACCTTCAGTGAGGACTACAGGAACCACTTGCCACAGAAGAGAAGGACCCCATAAAGGTCTCCCCCATTGTCAACCCTGGGAGACGATCAGCAGAGGTGGCTAGAAGAGGCTTCCCTTGACTTTGGCCTCAGCAGTCTAAAGGCAATGAGGACGTTGAGTTAAAGGGGTGTGGTCTCAGGTTAGCACAGGGAGGAGTCCCAGGTGGAGACTGAGAGTAACTCTGCGGAATGGAGGGAGCTCTAAGAGTTCTGCCATGACTGTCGGCAATGGGAAACTCCAAAATAACTAGAAGAGGCTCTCTCGCGGGCAGCCCAGGTGGCTCAGCGGCTTAGCGTTGCCTTCAGCCCAGGGTGTGATCCTGGAAACCCAGGATTGAGTCCCACCCAGGCTCCACGCAGGGAGCCTGTGTCTCTGCCTCTCCTCTCTCTCTCTCTCTCTCTGTCTCTCACGAACAAATAAATAAAATCTTAAAAAAAAAAAAGAGGCTCTCTCGGATGCCAGCCTTTTGGGAATCTAACAATGATGAGGATATTGGTGTATGGGGCACAATCTGACTTCAGCAGAGGGAAGACGCCCTGGCCCTCAATGGATTCCAGGTGCAGACACTGAATGAAGTTAATTACCCCAGAGTATAAGGAGCCCCACAGAACCTTACTCTTGCTGTCGGCCCAGGAGGACCCGGGCACGGCGGGGGCCGGGGAGGAGCAGACTGGGAGCAGGAACGGAAGGACTATCCCGTAACTTCCGCTTTCGAAGTCTGATAAATGCCGGCATGGAAGGGCGTGGCCTCTCTCAGCAGAAGAAATCCTACGACTGGTCGACTGGCCGAGTGAGTAGACTGAATGAGGAAACCAAAGACGCCGAATAGAGGCCCCATTGAGTAAAGCCCTGTCCCTTTTCTTATCCCAGAAAACCCCTGAAATGACTGTCAGACTGAGGCATTTACTTACTGGGGCCTCAGGAATCCGAAGGCCGTGACGTGACGGCCATGATTCGAGGGGTGTGGCTAGATGTCAGAGAGGGAGGACCACGTGAGGACTGAGGGGACCCTTAGAGCTCTTCGGTCAGTCCTGAGTGGATCAGGGTGGGGCTGGGGCTGGGGGGATGGCGTGTCTGGAAGTGCTTTCCCCTTACTTTTCCTCAGGAGTCTGAGGGTACTCCAGTCAACAGACGAAGAGTCCCAGCTTCTACCACAGTCAAGGTAAGGTGCTCAGTAAAGATTGAGGGAATATCCACTCCACACTGGAAGGGACTATACAGATCCCAACCTGTGCTGTCACCTCTGGGAGGTATTGGGCAACAGTGCCTAGAGTTAGTTAGTATCAGGAGGCCCTGAATAGCTGGCACACTGGGTTGCCCCCTGACTTGTACTTTTGGTTTCTAACGGGGTGAGGCCAGTCCTGAGGAGGGCTGCATCAAGTGAGCAGAGGGAGGAGTCCCAGACCTTGCCAGGAATCAAGGTAAGATGCTGCATAAGGAATGAGGACGTCTCTTCACTACAATGGAGAAGGCCCCTCAAAACTGGTGTCAGCCCTGGGAGGAGGAGGGGATGGCCAGGAGTGACTTCCCTTGACTTGTGCCTAGAGAGTGTGAGGATCGTGAGGACATTGTTTGAGAGGTCCGGCCTCAAGTAAGCAGAAAAAGGAATCCCAGGCCCTGCCAGGAATCCGAGTAAGATGTGGAGTGGAGACTGGTGGGAATCACACACTCCAGAATAGTGGGAGCCTCGTAGAGCCCTGTTCCTGTTCTGAGACTGGGTAGGCCCTGGAATAGTTGTCAGACTTTGGTACTTTCTGATTTTGTCTTGGGAGCCTGTTGTTTCAAATTAGCAAACAGAAGTATCTTAGTCTCTATCAAGGTCAAAGTTATGACCTCAAGTGAAGATTGAGGGGAGCACACATGCCAGAACAACAGAGCCCCCAACAGACAGCTGCCTTCCTCTGTCACCTCTGAGAGGCCTAGGAAGGTCTCTTCTTACTTCCTTTCCCTTGGCTATGTCAGCTGGCTATACTCTGAGGAGCCTTCTCACTTCCTCCTCCAGCTTCTTACAGGTCAGGAAAGGAGACCTGTGAAGCTCTAGAGTTACTGTCCTCAGGAAAAGATTGTGGGTACACTCTTCATCAGAGCTGTCACAGTTGAGTTTCCCAGATGACGCCACTCATGTCTTCCCTTTCTCCCCAGGTTGTGGTCCTCTGTCACCCACCCTCCTGCCCACATTCCTTCCCACTACCACCAAGAGAAGTGAGCATGTCTCAGAGTCAGGAGATTCCATTCTGCACACAGGAACAATACTCTGCCCACAATGAAATCACAGCCATCTCACCAAGCAAACCAGATAAGGGCTCCAGCAGCCAAGAAAAGGAAGATAGTTCAGCTTCTTTATCAAAGTCGGGCACCGAGAACTTGCCCGTAGACCCTCTAGATGAAAAGGTGACTTCGTTGGTGCAGTTCTTGCTGCACAAGTATCAAACGAAAGAGCCCATCACAAAGGCAGAGATGCTTGATGTTGTTATCAAAGAGTGCAAGGATCACTTCCTTGAGATCCTCAGGAGAGCCTCTCAGCACATGGAGGTGGTCTTTGGTGTTGATGTGAAGGAGGTGGACACCACCAGATACACTTACGCCCTTGTCAACAAACTAGGCCTCACTTATGATGCGAGGCTCAGTGGTGAGGAGGGCATGCCCAAGACCAGCCTCCTGATAATTGTCCTGGGTGTGATCTTCATGAAGGGCAATCGTGCCACTGAGGAGGAGATCTGGAAAGTGCTGAATATGATGGACTTGTATTCTGGGAGGAATCACTTCATTTTTGGGGAGCCCAGGAAGTTCATCACCAAAGATTTGGTGCAAGAAAGGTACCTGGAGTACCGGCAGGTGGCCAACAGTGATCCTCCATGCTATGAGTTCCTGTGGGGTCCCAGAGCCCATGCTGAAGCCAGCAAGATGAAATTGCTGGAGTTTTTTACCAAGATCCATGAGTCTGACCCCCGGTGCTTCCCGTCCCAGTATGAGGAGGCTTTGAGAGATGAAGCAGAGAGAGCCCAAGCTAGACTTGCAGCCAGGGCCAGCACTAATGCCATGAGCAGAGCACATCCCAGGACCAGATCCCTCAGCAGCTCCCACCCCTAGAGAAGTCGGAGGGCAGATTCTTTACTTTGTCTTTACAATTAACAGTCAACTTTCTAAGTAGTGGAGGGCTGGGGTGTGGCTGTAGGAAGCACGATGTATAACATCCCTGTGTCCCTCTTCTATATGTTTAACACAGAGGTTTATCTTCTTCATGGGGGGTGGGGGAAGTTTGTTTTCAAATGTTGTTCCCTTTAATATACCATTTTATTAGCTTCAGAATCTAAGTTCATGAATGGCACTGGTTATACATTTATTGCTATTTATGACATTTAAGAATACAAGTTTAGTTTGTTTATAAAACTGGCCATCTTATTTTGTTACCTGGAAAAAGTAAATGTTATTCAAATAGGCGTTTCTTTGGAAGTATCAAAGAATTCAGCAGTAAAATAGTTGGGATCAACAACAACAACAATCCCTTAAAGATGGTCAAAAGGTACCAAAAGATAGTTGATTTTTAGCCTCCCTTAGCCCTTTTAATCTACCATTCTGTAAAATTAAGTAACATACATGTATTTGCTTAGATTAGTTAAAAATATATGAGAAATAAATCTTCATAAATTCTACCCTATGTACACTGGCTCATTTATTCCCCAAATATTAATTCAGCAACTGCCTTTTGGAAAGCACTGTTAGTAGTGGGGATGCTAGGATAAACAAGAATCACTACTACCTGCCCATAGAGTATTAGATTCTAGGAGCAAGAATCATGTAAAGACAATGGTGAGTATCCTTTAATACCAAAATAAAAAGTAAAAAAGAATGAAGAGGTTGTGGCGGCCAGGGGCAGGGCGGGGGGGGGGGGTTGCTCCATGTGATGGCAGTCAAGTATAAATATCCTGAGAAAAGACAGGCAGTGGCCTTGGAAATTACAAGTCCTTCAGTAGGAGGTATAGTACACTAGCTAAGGCTATGGGAGTGGTGAGTGGGGTCAGACCCTCAAATGGTGTGTCTCAGAGTTGAAAATGAAAAACTGTTTGTTCTTATTGGCTACTTTGGAATTATGGCTGTAGGGACAGGAATGGAAGGTATCCTGCGTTCTTGTCAAAGTGCAATTAAACAGAATGCACAAATTAGGTATTTTATGAACATCATCTTCAAGGAGTTTGTGAGAAATAAGGGTGATACTTCCCCGAGGTGAGATACCCAAAAGCCACTGGGCTGGCACTCTGTCTTGGGCTTAGAGATCCAGAGCCTATACCATTCATTAAATAGGTCATGTTTAATATAGTTTGGCAAACTCTAAGCAAGGCCTAGATTTTTGGAGGAAATAAATGAACAAAAATAGGGACAGGTTATTGGAAGGGCAACTGAGAGGGAAGGAAAGAGTTGGTCCTTGATACAAATTCTAGGGGTTTGGAGTTGCATTCAGTTGAGAAATACTAATACTCCCCCAAACCCAAATTAAATAATATATCCTCTGGGGAAGACTTGCTAAGGCTTTCTTGTGAAGCAGCCATTTGGCTGGTTTGGTGTGCCATGTCCTAGAACAGTGCATATTCTCTAACATCTCCTGGGTGAACAAGTCCCAGAGAGGAAGTCACTAATGTCTGGGGTCAAAATAATCATTGTAACAACTGCCAATCATCAAAGATCCAATGCACACCATGCACCATGCCTGGGGCTTTACATACAATACATACATTTTAATGGTCATGCTATAAGACAAGGTTCATCCAGCCCACTTCACAGATGAAGAACATCTTAGAAAGTTGGTGAATGTGCACAAATTCACAGGCCCAGCATGTGACAGAGTTGGAACTAGACCTCCTGTTTCAATTCTTCCAGAGCCCATGCTATTCTACTCCTCCCAGCCTATGGACAACCTTCTGTTCACTCCTTTTCTTATTACTCCATAATGCTTCTCAGGGGGTAAAAAGAAGGGCATTGTAGCCAAAGTACACAAAATGAATAGATATAATGAAGGAATGTGAAAATGAGAATCACATACAATTTAGGCATTGTCTGTGGGGTTCATTTACCAAGAGTGCTGCTGCCTCACCCCAGGCCTCCTTGGGAGCTGCCTCTGCTCAGTAACTGACATGTGTGTGCAACCCCGACACTTCCCCATATTACGGTGCCCTTCCCCTGAGTCTTCCCCAATTGTCCTCCTGTCCAACTCTAAAAGCTGACCTGCTGACCATCTTTTCAATGTGTCTTCCTCTGGACACTGTACCCTGCTTCCAGTGGGAGAGATTGTCCAGGATCACCTACACTTCTCCTAACTTAGAGTATTCCATTTTCTGCAATCATCTCTTGGCTGACCTTCACCATAGGATCCCTCTGCTACAACCCCTTCTGTTTAAGGATTGATTGATTGATTGATTGATTTGAGAGAGAGAGTGTGAGTGGGGGGCGGGGGGACCAGAGGGGAAAAGAGCCTCAAGCAGACTCTGTGCTGAGTGTGGAGTCCCGATGTGGGGGCTCGATCTCACAGCCCTGAAATCATGACCTGAGCCAAAACCAAGAGTCGGATGTTTAACTGAATGAGTCACCCCGGCACTGCACCCCCCCTTCTCTTTAAACAGTGAAGTTTAGGTAAATGGTCATTCCCTGAAGGGCTTCTTCACCATACTCTCAAAATGTTTTACAATTGGGCTTGTGAGTAGAATCTTTTTTTTTTAATAATTTTTTTTATTTATTTATGATAGTCATACAGAGAGAGAGAGGCAGAGACACAGGCAGAGGGAGAAGCAGGCTCCATGCACCGGGAGCCTGACGTGGGATTCGATCCCGGGTCTCCAGGATCGCGCCCTGGGCCAAAGGCAGGCGCCAAACCGCTGCGCCACCCAGGGATCCCCCCTTGTGAGTAGAATCTAAGTAGGCACAGAACATACTGGTTCTTGGGATGTAAACCTGAAATAAGAGAAGTTTTTGAAACCACCTTGATATTTGCAGTAGGCTTTTAATGGGGTGTCCTATTTGAGACTAGCCACTGAAAAGATATACCAATGAGTGAGCATACCTAGGTGATCAAAAACCAAAGCCTCACTCTTAAGAGACAGAGGGAGCAAGATCATAGAAATCACTGTGCAAGCAACCATCTATAAATACTGAGTCTGACTTCCTATAACCCTGGAAGTCCTAGGAGGCAGGAGGAGTGGCGATGCCAAGGACTGGTTCCTTGGCCTAATATGCTAGACTGATTTAAAAACAAACAAACAAACAAACAAAAAACAAAAAAACCTCACCACCCTTATGTTATCTCTAGCTTGTATACTTTTCCCACTAGAAAATCCTGGTTTTCACTGTGCCTAAGAGCACTGTACAGATGTTCAGGTGCATTCAGTTAGGTGGTATATAGGAGACACTCTAAAGTTAAGATATTGACCAGGCAGCAAAAAGAAGGAGGTAATTCTCACCTACTGAAATTACAGAGGTTTTTGCAAAGGGCGGTGCAGAAATGCGCTATTGAGTGAAGAAGAGTGAGCCTTTCCTGTAAGGATTTATAAGGTTCTTTTAAAGATCAGATATCATCCTGTACTTAAAAGCATCCTCAAAGATGTGGCTAACTGCAAGGCGAATAACAGGCTTCACAGAAACTACTCCAGGAAACAAAGTGAGTTACTGTCCTAACAAATTGTAATAGTCACTCTTTATTGAACACCTACTATGTAACAGTTAAAGGGAGAGACTGCAAGTACTCACCCACATCCTTTCTTGGCTTCTTTCCTGGGTTCACAGGAAAGCTACATTCCTAGCCCACTTGCAGTTAAAAAGGGCCATGTGACTACTCTTGCCAGAAGCAGCAGTTGTCATTCCTGGGCCAATTCATTTGAGATCTAGGATGTTCCCTCCACTTTCTTTCTCCCATTCAGTAGAAAGATGCGGAGCTCATGTTGAGACGTGAAAGTACAGGATGGAAGCAGCCTCCGTCTCTGAGTCACCGGTTAGCAAGACGTCCTGCCAAATCACATCAAATTTTATGTGTACAAGAAATAAACCTTTGTTATGTTAAGTCATTCAGATTTTACATTTTATGTTTTGTATCAGCTAGCAGTTACTTTATCTAGCTAATAAACAGGTGCTATTTATGTTAAGCTTATTTAAAAATGTTAATGACGAAGCTAATAATAATACATATATTCTCTCATTGCAAGTATTTCTAACAACATACATAAATCTATCCTTTCCCTTTACTGTGTTGCTCTAAAACTCAGCCTTCTCTTCAGAGGTAACTACAATAAAAAATATGGTATCTATTATTTTAAAGATAATTTTAAGCTTTTTAACACATAGATGTGCTATTAAAATATACTGTGATTTTTTAATACACTGGGTAGTGATGTACATATTGTCCTCCCACTTGCCTTTGTCACTTAATAAAGTGAATGCAGCATCATCATTCCATGACAACACATATAAATCCACTTCATTATTTTAACCACTCCATAGGATTCTAAAGTATGCATGTTCTATAATTAATTTAACTATTTTCGGGATCCCTGGGTGGTGCAGCGGTTTAGCGCCTGCCTTTGACCCAGGGCACGATCCTGGAGACCCGGGATCGAATCCCACATCGGGCTCCTGGTGCATGGAGCCTGCCTCTCCCTCTGCCTGTGTCTCTGCCTCTCTCTCTCTCTCTCTCTCTCTCTCTCTCTCTCTCTCTCTCTGTGACTATCATAAATAAATAAAAATTAAAAAAATAAAAATTAAAAAAAATAAAAAATAAATTATTTTCCTCCTGATAGACACTTAAGTAGTTCCCAATAGTTTTTATACTTAATAGAATTGAATCAACGTCTTTAGACATTAGTTCTTGGGCAAATGTACATAGAAAACACATAGCAAACCAAAATTGGGACAAAGTGGAGAGGGCATGAAAGTTGTACCTTTTTATAAATATTGCCAAAATATCATCTCACATATATACCAATTAATATTTTACAAAGTAATGTATGTAGCTACCCTATACTCTCGTATTTTGTGTTTTAGATCCTTTATCTTTTGGTTGAACTCATGAAAAATAGTCTCACAGTTATATTAATTTTTATTTCCCTATTTTCTAATTTAGTTGAGCAGAAAATGAACTTAATCTCTTGCCCATATAAAGCTACATTTCTGCAGCCATGTTCTGAGTCACAGG